CAATCTCATTTCCTTTTATGACCAGGTGACCTATCACCTGGACAAGGGAGAAGAGATTGATGTCATATATCTTGACTTCAAAAAAGCCTTCAATCTGGTATCACCTCTTGGCAAAACTAGCCAACTGTGGCCATGGGTCCACCGTGATCCACTGGCTGGGACATTGGCTCCATGGTCGTACCCAGAAGGTAGTAATTGATGGAAGTCACTCATCATGGTGTCCTGTGACCAGTGGGGTCCCCCAAGGCTCTCTCCTTGGACCCATATTGTTCAACATCTTCATTAATGGATGTGGACATTGGAGTCAGGAGCAGACTGGCCAGGTTTGCCGATGACACCAAACTTTGGGACAAAGCATCCACACCAGAAGACAGGCTGGTGATCCAGGCTGACCTGGACAGGCTCAGCAAATGGGCAGACAAGAACCTGATGGTGTTTAACACTGAAAAATGCAAGGATCTCCACCTTCGGAAGAAAAACCTGCAGCACCTTTATAGGCTTGGCAGTGCTACACTGGCTAGCACTACAGAACAAAGAGACTTGGGGGTCATCATTGACCACAAGATGAACATGAGCCTGCAGTGTGATACTGCGGCTAGTAAAGCGACCAAAACGCTAGTTTGCATCCACAGATGCTTCTCAAGCAAATCCCAGGATGTCCTTCTCACCTTGTACACGGCCTTGGTGAGGTCGCAGCTGGAGTACTGCATCCAGTTTTGGGCTCCACTATTCAAAGAGGATGTGGAGAAATTTGAGAGAGTCCAGAGAAGAGCCACGCACATGATCAGAGGTCAGGAAAGCAGACCTTACAACGACAGGCTGAGAGCCATGGGGCTCTTTAGCTTGGAAAGGTGCAGGCTCAGGGGTGATCTGATGGCCACCTACAAGTTTACCAGGGGTGACCACCAGTATCTGGGGGAATATTTATTCACCAGAGCGCTCCAAGGGATGACGAGGTCGAACGGTCATAAACTACTGCAAGACCATTTCAGGCTGGACATAAGGAAGAATTTCTTTACTGTCCAAGCCCCCAAGGTCTGGAACAGCCTGCCATCAGAGGTGGTTCAAGCACCTACACATTAAACACCTTCAAGAGCAAACTGGATGCTTATCTTGCTGGGATCCTATGACCCCAGCTGACTTCCTGTCCTTTGGGCGGGGGGCTGGACTCGATCTTCCGAGGTCCCTTCCAGCCCTAATGTCTATGAAATTATTTATTTAACTTGGGGATTTAAATCAATCCACCTTGATCATGAGTGTGTGGCCTGAATCCAATGGCAGTTTGGCTAATGGCGTGCATACTGTACCTACCTGCGGTAGCGGGGCCGATAAGTGGGATTCCGATGGATTGGCTGTTGGAGTTGTGCTCCTTCTGTGATCCCATCCTTGATCTCTCCTTCAATACCCTAAAACCAAAAAAATATTAGGGCAGAATAAATATTTGATGGTAATATTCTAAACTATATAGGGTCCAAATAGGCCAGTCAGTCCTTCCCTCTTGACCATGTGTCATCATAATACAAAAAAGAGCACAACAGCCAACACACAGAACAAATCAAATAAAATGCATATTAAGGCTACTTGTGGTTGAGCTGAGGAACTCTGCTGTAGGTCATTCAGAAAATATAGCTGGAGGTGCAGTCTATCTATTAAGGGTATTCAAAACTCATGTTTCAAGTTAGAAATTGATAAGCTATGGGGAAAAGGAAGGAACATCCCTTTTTAAATACATCTCAGTATTAAAGTCAGCCAATATGACTTTTTCTTCTTTGCAGATGAAGTTGTCTCAGGTGTTTACAATGGTATGCTGGACGATGCAAGATTAATGATACGATCCATCAGGCCACATGGATCAGTCAGTAAAGCACTTGCAACATATCTAGAAGAACAGCAGAGTCAGCAGGCTCTCTCGCTGGCAGAAAGCAGGAATCAGAAATGCGCTTCTCAGTGGTAGCATGGATCCTCAGAGGGAGGGTGAGCAGGCCATGTCCAGAATATTCCACCCTGTGCTTCCTCTCCCACAGCCTCTTCCAGAATTTAGATCCATTCCAGCAACCCTATGATGCATGGTAGTGATTTGCCTTATCCAGGACACCACACACTTGAACTATTCATTGTGAAATTAAGTGCTTTATGGGGGGGGGGGGGGAAGCTTTTAGTGAAAAGGTGCCACTTCCAAGTGTGGTTGGAAAACTAAATCTGCAGTGAGCCTGTTTAGAGCAGTGTTTCTCAAACTGTGTGTTGCGACCCAAAAGTGGGCCACAAGAATATATGAAAGGGTTGCAAACAAACTTAAGAAACAGATCAACAAATGTTAAAAACGGATTCCCCTTTAAAGGAGGAAAAACATGGGAAACTGGAGCTTTTCCCTTCTAGGCTGGCAGAGTTCCAACCTGCGAGGGGCTGCTTGCCCTACCCCCAAACACATACCCCCACTCCTGCCCCACACACTGGAAGGCTGGGGCCTGGGGGCAGCAGGTCAGGAGTGAGGGGTACTAGGTCAAGACTGGACAATGTTTACAAACAGGTCCTGGTACCAAAAAAAAGTTCAGAACCCCTGGGTTAGAGGCCACTCTCTGGCTTCATTACATCTTCTGAAAAAATATCCAAGGCAACAAAAACTGCAGTAAGAAATACCAGTATCATCTCACACACAAATAGTACCACTTGTTACCTCATCCAAAACAGCTTATCCACGTGATGAAAGGTTTGCAGGATTAGCCTTCACCCTTAAACAGTTGAAAACTGTTCCAAGGCAAGTTGTTTCACTCACTGTCACTATTCCAACTCATGCAGTCCCTATTTCAATCTATTCCAACAGCTTTCACTCCGTACCAAATCTACCCAGCTCAAACTACTTTAATTCAGACCGCACAGACCCACAACAACATGTACCAGTTGCTCAAAACCTACTTAATCCAGTCTGCATCAAGCCAATTACTTCACACAAGTGCCAAGTGATAGAGAAAAAAAAAATCCTATTAGGTCATCTTAACTACCCTGCTGGCAATCTAGGATTGCTCCTCTCCTTACTTGGCATTTCCAGCTTTCAGATACTTGCAGATGGTTGTTATAGCCCCCTTAAGTCATTATTTGACTGAGGTATAAGCATTTAGTCTATTTACAGACAGTCCTGCCAGTCCCATAGTAACATATTTATCCCACAATTTTACCTTATGATGAGAAGGTACAATTTTAGCCACCACACTACCATGCACATGTCATCTTATAATATTTTCTTAGATCATTATTCTGATGCGATGGGACCAGAGAATAGAATACAAAGCCGTTTGTCTCTAACATGGGTTCTAATGATAAGACCTCCAATGCTTCATGTAGACTGAGTCTGGTGGGTCCCACTCTAGCCCTTACTAAGCCAGTTATCACACCACCATCACATTTAGCACCAAATCATTAACTAGCAACCTCAGTAAAGGATGGTCCGAGTGTAGGCTCCCTAGAAAACAGAGTTCACATACATAAGCAGAGCTAACACGTATTTGGGGATCTTGTATTCCTGCTGCTCCAGACACACCCCATCTTCAGAAACAAGTCAGAACCTCAGGCCTCCAACAGTTGACAACCAAATTCTTTTAATAAATACTAAAACTCACGGAAAAAAAAATAATCTCTTTGCTCCCCACCTGTCTTTGCTGCTTCCCAAGTTTCTTAGAAGCACAGAAAACTACCCTAAAGACATTTGCTATACTTCACATGCTGTGCCCACATACATCTATGCCACTTATTTTTAGCAGCTTGACAGGGGCAGCTGCTAAAGTTGGGAAGGGTAGAATCAAAGTTCACTGAAAAAAAATAGAGGTGCACATGCGCAAGAAAAAATGGCACACCAGATGATTCTATTTATAGATGGAAAGACTGACAAAGACAGATAAGTAACCAGAGAGGCTTCCACAGAAAGATGGCTAAATGAAAGTTCCTGGTAAGGGTAATTATCTGAAAGGTGTAGAAGACCAGAAGGAGAGACTTGAGTAATATAATCCCACCTCCAAATGACTCCTTGTCAATTTGGGAATAGTACCACCATAACCTATACAATGCAACAGATGCACCAAAATACTCCTATGATTTCACAGCTTCTATCACACTTTCCTTCAACTGAAGGTGGTAGAACCTACAGGGATCTCAGGTTCTTGCCCTTCTCTTCCGCTGCCTTTCCTGGGCTGGGAGATGTTGGAGGACCCAGACTAAAGACAAAAAAAATCTAGAGCCTAGCTTCTCAGACTGAAGTCCATGGAGTACTAGATTAACCATAGAAGGAAACACTTTTTTAAATCCTAGCAATGGAGTTAGTGGATGTTGGAAGTGATTGTGAATTATCACTGGTTCCCCTCCAAATCAAGCTTTGGGCCAAATATTAAAATAGCAAGAGACTAGCAAGAGAAGAAGTTACTGGTGCCTGAATGAACCCTACTGTCTGGGATGGGATGGGATGGGATGGAATACAGCTGGATTTCTGCGATTGTTCCTTGACCATACAAAGCAGCCCTGCTGCCTCTCAGTCCTCCCACGACTTGAAATACCTGAAACAGACTCTGAATGAGATCTCTCTCCGATTACTGCTCAACTATCAAAACTAAAGCATGTGCCTTTGTTTGCTTATTTTTTAAGAACTATTTTTTGGTTCAGTGTGGGTGGAAACACGTTAGCAGAGGATCAGATTGGAAATTAAATTATGACTACATGAATCTTTTTACTGAAAAGCAAGTTTACCAAACTGGAGACAGACCCAGTGAGGAGAGTAAAGGAAGAGTGGAACTGAGAGCTGTAGTTTCCAGGCCCCGTTTTACTTGTATGCTGTTGACAGCATGGGTAAAGCCTGACAAGCGATACTCAAAAGGTCTTACCCACTTGGCAAGGTGGGAAAAGGTCCATCTGGTACCATGGGCAGCACAGCTGGTTCTGCACAACTCCAGAATATGCCCATCAGTAACTGTAGAAGTAATTACTTCCGTTGCCAAAGCACTGAATTGACAGGGAGAATGGTAAGATGGGGCTCATTTTCACTGTCATTAGCTCACTCCAGCCTTATGTTTTCATCCATATTAGCAACAGGCCTACAGGGTAGTGCCTATCCCAGCAGCATGCATGCCTACCCAATTTCTCATCAAAACATGCTTTGGCTGCAGAAGTCTGACTCACACTAGTAAAGCCCACATGTCTGCATGCTGCAGCCAAGACAAGTACTAGATCAATTACACATCCATCTGTACAGCCAAGATGAGCTGTGGAGAATCTCTTTTACAGAACTTGTAGCAGTTATTGCATTCTTATTTCAGCCATGCACACACACTTAAAGAGATGAGAAAGGCTCTGAAGATAAAGCAGTCAGGTCATTGTAAGAGTCATCTTTTCAGAGGAAGGCTCTGTATGTTGCAAGTCAAGTCATCACAATATTCCAAATCATCCCCGCATAAAGCAAGGGCAAAGGACCATCTAAGAGTAAGGACATGGGGACTGCTAGAAGAACCAAACTGAAAAGGCAACACAACAGCCTAAGTGAGGAGCATCTCAAAACACACTCTTGTACACTAGTCAGGTTTACAGGTGTTAAAAGTGACTCTATGACCCAAAGCCTACGGACACAGCTGCTCTGCCAAGACTCAAGAAAGAAAGATCAAAGGGAACATTAAAGTACTCTGTGGCCTCAGAAAGGGTGGGGGTGAACAGGTGGCCAGAGACTGCCTGGTGTGTCAGCAAAGGCTGGCAAGGAGACATACAGAACCAGCTCCTCCCAGCTAGGGGTAGGCACGGCTGGGTTGAAGGGAACTTATAAGATGACTTGAAAGAAAGTAATCTTGGTTATGGTGCAGGTACAAGGAAACATGGATATAGAACCCTATTGTTTTACCCCCTGGTACACTTACACTTTGTACCTTGGGGTAAGTTAATAAATAATGCATTGTTTTGAAAAAGTTGTTAGAGTCACTCTGCATAGCAGCTGCTTCAGCAGTCCCTGGAGAGAAAGGTTGGAAAGTATCAAAAACTCTGCTGGGCCTCCTGAGCAACACATTTAGGAAGTGGGCCTGCAGTCCAGTCTAGAAGTGGTTGGGTGCCATTGTTTCAGTCAGAATGACATGCAGTAATTTAGACCTATCACCTGAAGTTGCACTTGACAGGAACTAAGAAAGATCCAAAACCAGTTAGCCTTTTAACCATGGCGCACTGCAAGAACAGAACTAGTCAACATTCATTAGTAGCTTATCTTTCCTCTATGCAGCATAGTCCACACCTCAACAGTCCCTATGTATGCCCTACACTTACGCTGGGGGGATGCACGTGTACTCAAGCACTTTTTTTTTTTTAATAAATATATAAATCAGAATAACATGTTTCTGTATCTTTTCAGCTACAGAATCCCCTGATGAACAGAGCTCCATGGCTGAGAGGACAGAGGATCAAATCACAGAATGTATGCATTGAAAATGTAATTTAAAAAAACTCAATTGCTGCCCATCAAGTAACTTCTCATTCTCCTTCAACAACTGCCATACAAATATTCCATTGACTTCAAACCCTAATTTTCTATGATTATGAGCATCTCAGAAGGTCACCTAGTTCAACCCCCTGCACAGAGCAGGACCAACCCCAACTAAATCATCCCAGCCAAGGTTGTCTACCTGTGTCCTAAAAACCTCTAAGGATGGAAATCCCATAGCCTTGCTAGGTAACCTGTTCCAGTGCTTTTCTGCCCTCCTACTGACAAAGTTTTTCCTAATATTTAATCTAAACTTCCCTTGCTGCTAATCGAGACTACTATGCCTTGTTCTGTCATCTGCCACCTCTAAGAACAGTCCAGCTCCATCCTCCTTGTTGCCATTCTTCGGGTAGTTGAAGGATGCTCTTACCCACCTCATGACTAAAATAGTAAACTAGTTTGAGCAAAGCTGAGTCTCAGTGTTGCATGTAACTATGACTGAAAAACAACTCGGCAGCATGCAATGTCCAATTTATAGTTTTTGCAGACATCATAACATCTTATGAACACATGCCTAGGGCTCTGGGTAGCTGCTTTAGAAACATCTGTTGGGCACATTTTCCACAAAGCTAGTAGTCTTGCTTAAAATTTTAAGGAAGTGCTCCATCAGAGGTTAGGCAAGTCAACTGACTAGCACACAGCATGTTCTCAGTCTCCACCTGGACTAACCTACGTATGTATGGCATACAAAGGGTTCCCCCCAAACCATAAGTGTAGTGCATATTGCTGCCCCCTTTGTTCTCACTTCTGTAAATGCAAATCAAATTATAACGGGGTGAGCTAGCTTTTGTTGCCATAAGCTGCTGCTCCTAGACTTCAGCCCTCAGAGCACCCAAGCTATCTGCACTTATCCTCACCACTGACCCACATCCTCAACAGTGACTGAGAAGGGCAAATCCTGGGGCAAGGGTAAGGACAGATGCAAAACAGAAGCAGAGAGCTATGGAGGAGGGTGTTGCAGAGGAAATATGTAGCACAGTGCAGGTGCATGCTGCCAATACCCTGGGCCAGATCAGACTTTTGCAGGCTAGATCCAACCCACAGGCTATAGGTTTCTGACCCCAGGTCCAGAGGATAAACTAAATCATGTTGTCCTTTGCAAGTAAAATGCCTACTTCATCTTATGCCCAAGATTTAGAGCAGTGGTCTCCAAACTTTTCTGATCGCACACCCCATCAGTAAAAAATCTGAGCACACACCCCCACTATATGTATATTTATATAATTAGAAATAGAAGTTTTAGTATTTTCTTCCCACACCCCAATGAATCATCTTGCACGCACCCCGCTTTGGAAACCACTGATCTAGAGAGATGCCCCTGTGATAGGTGCATATCGTTTCAGGAATACTACTCTGAGAAAATACAACTGTTGTTGGTTCAGGTGGAGATCTATAAACCACATTCAAAAGGTATGTAGGCCATGTTCTTACCCTGTGTATCTAACTAGAAAAAATATACAGGGTAGCTATGTCACTAGGCCCAAAATGCTCCCATCCTTCGAGGTGAGACAGCAGCTCAGCCAGTCAAACAGGCATAGGAAAGAGCACGTTGATGTTGGTTCAAATGAGGATTCCATGAAAATCAAAGGGGTTAGGTTGAAGTCTCTTGGTAGGCTGGATCCTTAGTTACAACTTTCAAGAATTTCAGTCGAACAGGGAGGGGAAATACTTGCCCTTCCCCTTTAACTCCATTTAGTAAATGATGGGCTTAAGGACAGGACACTCTGCTTCAGCTGTAACAGGCAGTTCAAGATTACAGGCATGTCTTGCAAAGGGATTTTTCCATTGAAGCAAGAAAGAGAATCTCACCCATTTCACCAAGTCGAAGCCTCAAAAGAAACTTTTCTTTTATTGCTTAGAGCATTATCGACTAGGAGAGAACAGGACTGTATTGCACTCCACAGCTGTCCATGCAGCAAGATGGAGAGTCTTCAGGTCTGGGTTTTGGACAATCCCTCTATTGTGTTCCACACTGAGCACATCTACACACGAAATTAATGTGAACTAATAAACTGCAGCATGTTGCACCAGAGTTTATTGCTCCTGGATGCGGGACCACAGCACACTGAGCCGAGTCACAGCAGCCAACTGGCAGGAGGTCCAAGGGGATTAGTTTGCCAGCTCAGAGCTGTTCCAACCCGGCTGAACATACTGTGAAGGGGCTGGCTAGTGCATAAGGTTGCTCCGGTGTGGGACTAGCCGGCAGGCAGCCCCTGCACTGAAGCACCCTCATGCCCCTGGCAGCCTACTCAGCTTCTACATGTGTTGCTGCGTATTAAAGAAGTCCGCTGCAAGGTAGCTCTTGTATTTACAAGTACTAATCTACGCCAAAGTTAGTTTATAGAGTTGCATGTGTAGGTGCTGGGATTTTACTGCAGAGCTAATTAGGCACCTCCACAGTAAATATCTTGTGTAGACACGCCCATAGATACAGCAACAGAGGATGCGTCTTTGACTTTGTTGAACTGACTTAATTCAGAACAAAGCAGCATCTAGGTCACCTGGCGCTACCAAGAAGGTTTTGGCAAAGTCTCATCTGATCTTAGAGTACTCTGGGAATCGGAACAAATTTGATGTTAAGTATACAGCAGTTCCTCACCCCTGTCCTTCTCTCCCACCAAAGGAGCCTGACCCACACACTAGGACATTACTGTTGGGTTTGGATTTTTTTTTTTTTTTTCCCTTAAAATAGAAAGAGCATACAGAAGACAACTTAGTCCAAGGAGATGCTCTGAATTGAGAAACCTATTGAAGCACAAGCTTAAGTCTTCTTCCAGGCTGTTCCAGAAGACAAGTCAATGCATTATGCAACAGGTCAACTAGCGCCCCATGCATTGGTTCCAAAGTTTGATTGGTTTATGGTCATATGTCAGGGTAAGGATCCCACCCCTCTACAGGTTATATAGGGTGATTTGGTACAGATGATGGCATGCTAAGCAAGCTGTAGGGTCTTGCAGGTGGCCTCAAGTTCTAAGAGGGTGATGCATCCAACACTTCCTGTTTAAATCATACACCCTGCACATAGAGACTATCTATATGTACTCCCACCCAGTGGAAACAGGGCATCCGTCAATTCAGCTCTGGAGTAGTGGAAGTTAAGGAGTTACGGGCACTCTCCAAACATTCTTCAGATCTTTACAGCATTTCAGGGACAAGTTTGGGTTGGGGAAAAACACATTCAGAGACATATAGCAGATGTTGGCCTAGTGTACCCCCATCTTAACCAGACTTGCAGGTTCTGAAGGCAGTAGTATAAAGGCATATGAAACCATATAAACTGCAGGGTGAAAAGATGTCACTGTGCTAGTAGGGTTAGACCCCAATTGCATGATCTGGTTGCTTACATCCTGGAGCACAGGTCACCTTGATAAGCGAGAGAGATTCAACTTCTAAATATTTCCTTTCAAGCACAAGTTCCTGAAACAGGTAATGTGTGTACCACCAAATGGCACCAGAAGCCAACTGAGGGATGAGCCTCCATTTTAATCAACCAGCTGTCCAGACAGGGGTATAATGCAGGTTTCTCTTCTTGTGCTGCCACAATTATTAGCTGCTCTATGGAGGATATTCAAAGAAGTGCTAACCTTCCATGCAGTTTGTGCATCTTCTACATGCTGGTTGAAACAAATAAAGTGTAAATGTGCATCTTGAAGGGGGAACATGACTCAGTCCAAGCCATAGAGGCCACTACAGAAGGGAGTGGAAACAAGCTGAGATTCAGGAGGCACATGAATGTATTGAGTCTCAAGACAGGTCAACATTCCCCTTTTCTGAAGTCAATCCATGCTGGTGGGATCAACCAGCATGAAGTAGTGCTACCATAAGTGGTGTTTGCTAAAACGGCTCTAGGCAGACTCAAGAGTGCTTTGTTTTATGTTAGGCCAGCCTTCCCCACAGGAGTAGAATGGAGACTATCCAGTTTGTAGATTATTTCCTTGACCTTTTTCATAGGTTCTGCAGAACCACTGGACACACTTAGCCAAACTTAAGTGTGGGTTTGCTCTTCACCGGAACATAGCACTGAACTAAATTTGGAGTCCCCCTGCAGAAAAGGTGGAGGACTGCTTCAAGATTTGAAACTGAAATAGGGTAACTGGAACTAAGGGATGTGGTCAACTTACGCTACGAGGTGGTCCACGACGCCGGCCATAATAGCCACGTCGGTAGCGACGTCGGTCTGCAGCATAGCGGCTGCCTTCTACAGGGACCCCATCTGGACCGGTCACATTAGCTGCTTCTGCACCCTGAGAGCAAAACAACAAACATAGCAATGAGGAACATAAGACAGCAAGAACCCAATGGACAGTGCACAGACAGAGACAAGATGGCAAGGTAAGGAAGGGAGCAATTTGCTTCTGTAACTGCCATGTCAAACCAAGAAGAGCTTGGGTTTTCTTCCCTCCTAAATACCATGGGTTTCTCTGTTGGCAATTATCTTCCAGTTTCTTACAATTCCCATGTGGCAAGACTGTATAAGCCATGGTATTCTCAACCTCACTGGCAGAAAGAAATTCCTGAATTATAGAGTTCAGAGGCCAACAGCAAAATGAACAGGAGGGAAAACCCAAGAGACATTCAATTCGTCAAAACTTTTTAGGGGTTTGGTTTTTTTGGGTTTTTTTAATTTTATTTCCAACTATGTGCACAGCTTAGCTAACTGATACCTAGGATGGAACACAAGAACCTACTAACATTTAAAGCAAGTGGAAGTCAAAGATGTGGTAGTACAGACCTACGTCCTCCTATTAAAGTAGCTAGGAGAAAAAAAAAATAGACATTTACCTGCATTTAGAGAGACAACCCCCACAGCAGTGCACCTCCATGTGTTTATCCATCACTCACCTTCTCTCCTTCAACCACATCAAATTCTACAGTCTCTCCATCGCCAACACTGCGCAGATATTTCCGTGGGTTGTTCTTCTTGATCGCAGTCTTAAAAAAAAAAAAAAAAAAGAGACAAAATACTGTTATTAGCCATGTTGAAAGCCACAGGTGGAACACAACAGAAGTTACATATTACTAGAGTGTTTCACTGAAGAAGGGTTCAAGGGAACTGGATAGAGGCAAAGGCAACAGACACACTGTACTCAACTTATCCACAATCTGCTTTATTCAGAACACACCACCAGATAAAAGACCCGTTTATCAACCCAGCATCTCACCTCCTCACAAACACTGATAGATTTTACACCTCCTGATGCCTTGGGAGGAGACTCATTCCCATTTGGGCAACAAGTTCACTTGGCCAAAACATGCAGAAAGTCAATTTTAGCTGTTACTTCCCAGCTCTGGAACTCCCTCAGCCTCAAGGCCAGCCAGGGCCTAACCTGGCTTGGCCATCTTTCAAAAGTAACGTAGGACCTTTTTGTTTGGGCATATTTAGCAGATGGAGTTAAGCTTAGGTATTTTAGGGAATAATTTTTTTTTATTATTATTTTACCCATTTTGTGACTGATTTTAAGCCACCCTAAGCCTTTTTAAAGAAGGTGGCATTAAAAAGAGAAAGAAAAGAAAGAGTCACTACATTTTACACAGAGAACGGAGGCAATAGGTAAACTATTCACCTGAAGATACACTATGCCTGTGGCAAAGCTAGGAACTGAGCTCTTATTTCTAGAGTCCCAGCTCAGTCTAACACTAAATTAGTGGTTCTAACTTTATAGCCTCTGGTAGAGAACCCATGCCACCTTGTAAAAATCACGCAGTCTGCATCCTTCACTATACTGCTTAGAGGACCAACATACCAACTCAATCTTCATTAACACCAAGATACATTTTTAGAGCATCAGGCTACCCCACTCAGTAAGTAGAGCCTTCCCTAACTCCAGCATAAAGAATTTGGCCCAAGGTGAATTTATTCAACTTCTTCATCCCTGTTGTATGACAACTGCACAATGCTGAGTATTCGCTAGGCAGCAGCACTGGTGGTAGCAGCAGCATCTAATTTCACTGGTTCCCTCAGTAGGTCCTGCTTCCTC